CTCGCGTATTTCACAGAGTCAGTCCAAGTTCCTTCCCATGCACAAACACAACATTGAGGGTCTGAATCAGTGAGAGGTCATGTTGTCACCACTGTGTGCTAACTCGATCTCTCGACGACCATCTTGCGAAAAAACTTACAAGGAGAAGGGCGGAGGGCTGTGGACATGTTTTGTTTCGTTATCCGACACACACACTTCCGCCTTCTGTTTTATAAAGACACGGACAAATTAGAGGGGCCTTCTCAAAGTAGGAAAAGAGTGACCGGGGGAGCTAGATTGAGATGTAAAAACAGCAATTACGCTGCAATTTTGTTGTACTGCGCCGTGAAATAAGCTCTTAGTTCTTGACAAGTTATGTCATAGAAAATACAATGTACTTTTGTCCCTGGCCACAAGAATGTTCCCTCAACAAACGATCTCATCTGTGTGGCAACATTGGGACTTTCCCCACCGAGAAAATCTGGCAATGTCCCGAAATGTCAACAACAGGAGTTTATTTACAGTTCCGGTTGTGCCTAGTGCTGGGGTTTGAGCGGTCTGAGGCGGAGATAAGACAGGCGACTAGTGCAGACAATTCCACGAAACTCTGACACTGAGATTATAATAACCCTTAAATCAGCAGTGATTTTGACCACTTTGTCTCAGAATGATCGTACCGTGTCCTTGTTGCTAGCCCACGGTAAGGAGCGAGAAGTGTAAAGAAAACAATGTATTGTATGGAAATCTAGATCTAGATCTAGATTCTAGATCTATATATCTAGTCTAGTAATGATAGATCTAGTATAGATATCTATATTTCGGCTTTGGTAGCCCCATGGCCATACTCATGCACAATACGATAACTATTGTGAATAGCCAAAATGTGACACTTTGCCCTGTCACACGTAATAATAAATATTGTTGAATGATGATTAGATTGACTCTTGAATGGAAGCCGAGACCGTCTTTGTCTCCTTTCCTACTTTGACTTTGTGCACGGCTCATTTTGTCCTCCTCTCCAAGGTATCAGCCCCACAAACTCCCCAGTGGGAATTTCCAACTGCGAGATGGCGCTCAGGGACAATCAGAACATACATGAGCTCTCATCTTATACTTTTTTATCTAACTATATCCAATGTCCTTTGATAATTTTCTCTTGATTTTCTTCTCCAGAGTAGTGGTTGGAATCATGGTTCGTATTGCAGTGATAGGCTCGGGACAGATGGGAGTCAAGATCGCAGGTACTTTTCTGTAATTCACATGATCTTATGCACACAGTAGAATTGTTCATGGGCTGGTATATCATGCCATGCTCATACTGTGCCGGAACAACATAGGGGGAACTGCTGCTTTTTCTGTCCTCATCCTTACTATTGGCATTTTTCTACTATCTTTTGTATGTTTGTCACTGTCATGTGACCCGCTATTTCCGGGATGCCTTGATAGTCGAAGTAGACTTTGTGCTGTTGAAGCTAGAGAGGTGAGCAGAGTAAGCCTGATTCCCTGTATATAAGGACTTCTATGTTGACATCCACCCCTTGGTGCTCATATGACCTTATAATGCAGTTGTGAGCGCAGTAAAACCTTACTAAAACTTTTAAAAACCTTTAATATCTGTAGTTTGTCTTTTTGATTCCACACTTCTTTCTTGATGGAGTGTTGAGAAGCTCCACATGTTGATGACAAGAGAACCTATCTATGCGTCGTGATATGATGTGTTGTGATGTGATGTGATGTGTTGTGATGTGATGTGATGTAATGTGTTGTGATGTGATGTGTTGTGTTGTGTTGTGATGTGATGTGGTGTGATGTGTTGTGTTGTGTTGTGATGTGATGTGAAATAGGAAGGAAGAACTTGAGGAGATAAATGTTGTTGTTGGTGTGTGGCAGCATGATCACTGAATCACACCCTGGGTGGTTGATGGGTGGTCTCATATGTCGTTTGCTCCATCTTTCTTATCAAACATCTGTCATCCTTATCTCTCTTCCTTTTTTCCTATCAAACATCTGTCGTCCTTATCTCTCTTCCTTCTTTCCTCAAACATCTGTCGTCCTTATCTCTCTTCCTTCTTTCCTATCAAACATCTGTCGTCTTTATCTCTCTTCCTTCTTTCCTATCAAATATTTATCGTCCTTATCTCTCCTCCTTCTTTCCTATCAAACACCTGTCGTCCTTATCTCTCCTCCTTCTTTCCTATCAAACATCTGTCATCCTTATCTCTCCTCCTTCTTTCCTATCAAACATCTGTCGTCTTTATCTCTCTTCCTTCTTTCCGATCAAACATCTGTCATCCTTATCTCTCCTCCTTTCTTATCAAATATCTGTCTTCCTTATCTCTCCTCCTTTCTTATCATTCATGTCTTCCTTATCTCTCCTCCTTTCTTATCATTCATGTTTTCCTTATCTCTCCTCCTTTCTTATCATATGTCTTCCTTATCTCTCCTCCTTTCTTATCATATGTCTTCCTTATCTCTCCTCCTTTCTTATCATTCATGTCTTCCTTATCTCTCCTCCTTTCTTATCATTCATGTTTTCCTTATCTCTCCTCCTTTCTTATCATATGTCTTCCTTATCTCTCCTCCTTTCTTATCATATGTCTTCCTTATCTCTCCTCCTTTCTTATCATTCATGTCTTCCGTATCTCTCCTCCTTTCTTATCATGTCTTCCTTATCTCTCCTCCTTTCTTATCATGTCTTCCTTATCTCTCCTCCTTTCTCATCATGTCTTCCTTATCTCTCCTCCTTTCTTATCAAACATAATAATGTCTTCCTTATCTCTCCTCCTTCCTTTCTTTGTATTTTGCTGTCTGGTAACACCTCTAAACTTCAGCACTTTTAATATCTAACCTCTATTTGTCTTACAAGTTCTGTAAAACTCTTACTCTTTGTAAAACAAAGTAAAACAATGATTCTTGACCAGCAGTGGTGTTAAAAAACTTCCCCATTCATGTGACAAATGTCCCTGTTTGTGTGACAAATGTCCCTGTTTGTGTGACAAATGTCCCTGTTTGTGTGACAGATGTCCCTGTTTGTGTGACAGATGTCCCTGTTTGTGTGACAGATGTCCCTGTTTGTGTGACAAATGTCCCTTGTAGTGTGACAAATGTCCCTGTTGGTGTGACAAATGTCCCATGTAGTGTGACAAATGTCCCCTGTAGTGTGACAAATGTCCCCTGTAGTGTGACAAATGTCCCCTGTTTGTGTGACAAATGTCCCCTGTAGTGTGACAAATGTCCCCTGTAGTGTGACAAATGTCCCCTGTTTGTGTGACAAATGTCTCCTGTAGTGTGACAAATGTCCCTGTTTGTGTGACAAATGTCTCCTGTAGTGTGACAAATGTCCCTGTTTGTGTGACAAATGTCCCTTGTAGTGTGACAATTCTACCATTTTGTTGGTTCCCCAGGAGAGCTTGCTTATCACGGGAATCGCGTGACAATCTTCGACAGGAACGTGGCTGCTCTGAACAAGGTGAAGGACATCCTGGAGGAGGATAAAAAACAGCTGTTTAAAGATGGACTCCTCCCGCAGAATAATTTTTTGGTTTGTTCCATTTCAGATTTTGGTGATGTGTTGTGTTTGGATGTCAGACACTTTGTTTGGTCTTTTTCAAAACAGCGTTCTGTGTAATTGCTGAAAGTGGAGAGTTTTTGCCCCAGTCCACAGTACCGCTATGACAGGTGAACTATGACAGTTTGGCTGGGGTGGGATTAGTTCAAAATGGAAAACTCTGAGGACATGATTTTAAGAAAAGTATGTGAGGAAAGAGCCTTGATCCTTTGGTCAGATGGGAGGGGGGGAGAGAGAGAGAGAGTGAAGGGGTTGGCAGTAAAAAACCCAATGAGAGACAGAGAGACAGACAGAGAGGGGGGGGGGGGAGGGGAAGCAGACAGTAGTTTTACCAACAGTAAAGGGATTATTATAAATTGCCTTATCTGAACAGTCAACCTGATTTTTTACTGGTTTGTACGAGGTCACAGTGACACAGTAAACTCCACAGGCAGTGTGCGCTGGGTAGAACATAACTGGTTCTGTACACCCATTCTGAGCTGTTTTCATTGACTGTCATGTCGTGTGATATAATGACATGTGTAACTGTCATGTTGTGTGATGTAATGACGTGTGTAACTGTCATGTTGTGTAACTGTCATGTCATGTGATATAATGACTTGTGTAACTGTCATGTTGTGTGATATAATGACATGTGTAACTGTCATGTCATGTGATATAATGACTTGTGTAACTGTCATGTTGTGTGATATAATGACATGTGTAACTGTCATGTCATGTGATATAATGACTTGTGTAACTGTCAT